CATCATCACCCTAAGCTAAGTTTGTTTGTGCATTTTGGATGGCTGATTTTCTGGCCCTGCTCTTGTCTCAACGCTCTTTAGCTAGAAATCTATCTGCCAAGCATCAAACAGCAAGCAAAGTTCTTAAGGTGATAGCATCCAAGAAACCTTGGGAGCTGCATATTTATCTTGGGAAAGAGTAAATATTGTTCTTTTGTATAGATCAGTAGATCTATTGATCTATACATGACTCCAACTGTAATGTTAAACATGTTTACTGGAGAATCTTTCTCACAACATATCCTTTTTCATTGGTAATGTACAAAGATATTAAGTAGCTGTTAGCTTAAAACTGACGCTCCTGACTCTCAACGTTGACTGCGGGGTTTGTGTGTTTTAGCTTGCCTCTTATAGCTCAGTGACGCCTCATTGAGGCCACCCTAATTGAGACTAGGAAAAATAGGTGGTTACTCTGTGATTGTGTTTGTCAATCAATTGAAAGTAGTTGCAGCAACCAGCTGGTTACCTAACCTGTGTTAGCCTGGGGGCCACTTTCAGTTACAAGGCGATTTTGTATTTTGCAGTAAAATGACAATTTATCATTTTACCAGTTTATTTCCATATTATCACAAACAGATGTTGGTATGTAGTTACCAGCTTGACCCCATTCAATTGCAGACTGATAGCAACAAGAACAAGAGCTCCATGTTATTGCTGATTCATCAGGGTCGCTTTAAAGATGGCATCTCACTTCAAGTGGTCGCGGACTTGGTTGCACACAGTCACAATCAATTTGTCATGTGGCCATCTCTAACCACTGAGTGGCTGCAGCATTAGCTAATTGAAGTACCCACATGCTACCAAACATAGCTAAATATGGTTTTAAGTTGATAATGTCAGCTGATTCTTTCAAGTTCACAAAAAATAGCTGATGCAGCTTCGAAAATAGGCTGTGTCAGCTTTGCGTCAGTATTTACCCCTTAGCCGTAAAAGGCTTTTGGGGTATTGTCATTACCCTGCTGTGTGGGCGAGCAGATGGCGTGAACACCTAAGTTTGTGAATGAGGTAAAAATTGATGCCATAGGTGTATTTACTAAAAAAAAATCTCAGCCGAATCTGAATCTCAGTGACCTCAACCCCAAAAGTCAGACGTCAAGTTTTCTGAAAATCTTGTGAATGCAACAACTTGATAGTAAGGTGACGTAGGATTCTAAAAACTGCTAGCATAGTTGTGTCTTATAGGAGGCTGAGGGGAAGCATTGGCTATGGGTAGTGTTTTTAATTAATACTACAAGTTTTCTGTGGTTGTGGCCTGTTGTGGGTTATGTTGAACTTTCCATGTTATATCCTTTAAACCTGTCAAATAATCACACTCCTTGTGTTTCTTGCACCATCTGACTTCATTGTGGGAGGTTGTGGCAAAGCTCAGCAATTATCTCTGAAAGCACAGTGTTACTATTACTGAGGAGTAGCGACCCAACATTATGAGAAGGATACCCAAGCTGCTATACACCACAATAATCTTTTGAACCATTATGAGATGATTGTGTCTTTTATAAGTTAGGAAGTGATTCAGTCTGCTTTGTCAATGAGTGAGTGCCTGACTCTGCGTGGTGGGGTTCAGATGTTGATTTCCTTATCATCATACGACTTATCAGGACTGAAATCTGTCTCTATGTAACCGCATCTGCTCTATTGTTAGCCCGAAGCCAGACTGCTATAGTCTAACAATAGATTTGGTAACGTACAAACAGATCTGCTGTTGAAATGTGCCCACTTTAACAGAAACACTGACTGCTGTTTCTTCAAGGCACATATGCTGATGTGTAAAAATACATATGCATCTCAGCCATGAAAAGGCTTTTTTTTTTATTCCAAAGATTGTTATCTAAATATGCTGTACAAAATGTTTAAAAGCCAGTAAAGTTCCAATAATGAAACAATGCTTTTAGGGCTTCTCTTAGACTCCATGCCTATGTTTGTCACGACTGAATAGGATCCATAGCTTTTTACCGTTTGCCCAAACAGAATGGCATTCACCTTGTGAGGCATGCTCAGCTACCCAGGAAATTAATAAAAGCCTGTTAAACACAAGGCTGCAGAGAATACTGAAGGTCACGCTTTAACTTGAAAGTTAAAGTGCAGAAGTTTTACCAGGTTTCCAGGAGTATTCATTGATTTTTACATGACATAACCTGCTATGGGAATAAAAAGGCTCCCAGGCCTGTGCAACTTAAAAAAAAATTCTCGCCATCCTGCTCCATACTTTACAAAGAATATACACTTAAATCTACATTTGCATGTTAAAATGCATTTTCAATCCTGACTAATTTACATGATGGAAATTTAAACACATGTGAATTGGACCTTAAAAACAGGCTGGTAATCAACATGAACATCCAGAGTTAATCAAGTATTTCTTAGCCTCATGGCAAGACACAGGCGTCAGGGAGATGATGTTTCTAAGTTGCATTTCTCTGAAAATTTCAAAATGAGAATTTGATATGTACATCGGTTTGTTTGGCCTGTGCGCTTGGACTTCTTGGATTGCATTCATCACCTACAGGAAATCAAGAAAAAGGGGGTTTCATTGAAAATTTAAATCTTTTTTTTTTCTTTTTTTGAATTAAAAGTCATAAAGCGAGGTAAATAACTGCTGGGATTTATCAAAAGAAATGTTCATTATTTGGTAAATCATTCTTAATTGTTTGTAATTAACATAGTTATAATGGAAAAAATCGATCTGCCCATTCATTACATTGAAGTTCATGCACTTCCTCAGATCAGCCTTTCGACAACAAAAGAATCCTCCCTCTCCATTTTCTTCTACTGTTATTTTGCTGAGAGTGAAAGGATCATCCTGGTGTTATCAAGCTTGCCTTATTCACAATCTTGAGCTGTCCCCTCCTATTAATTCATTCTCACTATTCAGCTTTTCCCTCCTTGTTGATGTGTTTATCACCTCGTGTTTCCCTAATGGCTCCAAAGTGTATCCAAATCTCAAGAGTTGTCAGTTCAGATCTGCATGCCTCCCCGTCACTGTTTGCACTCGGGCTCTCAGTCCTACGTGGTTACATTTGTGCAGGTTTCAGAAGCACGCTCAGGGTTAGCTGCTACAGGCATGCATCATGTACTATGCAGGGCTTTGGAGCATGCTCATATGTGTCTGTAATTAAACATACACTGCTTCTAAATTCAGATGGAGTAATTTAATTGCACTTATCAAAAATTCCACCCTCTGGGTCCGCTTACACTCATCAACATCACGGCACGGTAATGCCAGCTTCATTAATCTGACTTAATTTGTGATTTTCAAACATCCTATAAATGATCTTTTCTCAGCTTAACTCATAGATCCCCATCTTGATAGTTGTGACCGACATTTCCCATAATGCTCCAGTTTACTTGCCATTAAGAGACTGAAAATAAAAGCTGGCCATTACTTCCAAATATCGACAGGGGGTGCTGACTCCTCTGGTTGCAAAAAGGACTCTGTGAAGTTCACGTAAAAATGAACTTACTGCTGATTTATGATCTCAGTAAAGGTTGTCTTGAGCTTAGGATCTCAATAGTTTAACATGATCATTATTTTATCAAATGTGGTTTCATTTATAGAAAAACAAATGATAAAGCAAGGTATACTTTGCACATTGCTGATGTCTCATTAAAAAAAAAGGGTGATGTCATCGTGAATTTTCCCATCTTCTATTTAGAGTCTATGATCTTATGGTGCTCATGAAGCTTTTCGAGGTATAGAAAAACAACCCTGCTGATGTCAGAGTGATGTTATTAGGGGTAACTTTTATTTTTATGTTTTAGCGTTAGAATTTGTAAAAAAAAGTCATCATTCGAGGTCAAATGAAAGATAGGTTTCATTATGGAAAACATAAGAGTCAGTTGTTTCCGGGTATTGAGCCATATGAGAGACTAAGAGTCTGAAATTGTGCTGCATCTTTAGTAAATTGAGCAATATTTTTTTAGAATCAGTTTTATGTGTGCCCTCCAAATGGCTGGAAGCCAAAGCACTGAATCATCAATTTGTTATACAGTTTGTGGCTGCACTGGATTGTTATCCATTAAGGCAACTCCTACTACAAAAACCTGCCTTTAAAAACATTTTTAACCATATTTGAATGCTAATTATCTGCGCAAAATCATGAATGCAGAGAGAAGCCTCTGCACTTTAACTGAACTCATATTTAGCATGAATGTCAGCGGGAGGGAAAAATCATTATCAGACTCTGGGTACGTTAGACCCCAAAAGTGGAAAATCTGTCTAAATGGAAAAGAACTGAGGGCTGATTTGTGTGTGTGTGTGTGTGTGTGTGTGTGTGAAAATAAAGCTTTTATGGCCAGATCTGATGTTTCTAGAACAGGAGGAAATATCAATAACCGCAGCATGATCCTTTCTGATCAAAGACAAACAGATGCCTTTCACACAAATGTTCTGGAAAAGAGACGCAAACAATGTCACAAAAACCATGGCATACTATTAAATGACAGCTAATGCACATGCTAATATTGGCAACAGTATTTTGGCTTGATGTGTCGTGAATCCATTTAAATACATGATTGCTTATAGAAAACAATACCTGATGCTTTAAGTCACTTTAAATTCTCTGTCTGGAGTGAGGCAATGGAAACATACATAACGGTAAATGCTGCTTCAAGTTATGGTGAAACAACTCCCTTTGAAAAATAGCATTTCCCCCAGTGTGCATCATTTGGTATGTAACCAAAGGTTAATATATCAATTTCTGTAGTGTAAATCTGTAATAAGGAAAAGTCTTGCAGTTTGTGTTGTTTGGTTCTTAAATGGAGCAATCTCTTGAAAAAATAGACATCCATGCTTCATGCTTTGCATCCCCTTGTGTCCGCGCCTGCTGTTCTTGAATAGTTTCCCAAGAATACTTCGATTTCATACAACCAAACTGGAGGGAAAAAGTGCTGAAATAAGATTTGGTAAAGGAGCAGCATTGGAAATGTTTGACCTTGTGTATAAAACTTATGGTCCTGTGGTTGTTGGGGTCTAGATAGATTTCCTTCTCCTCATGAGCTGGTGATTGTCTGTGAAGCTGTGAAGGCCTGGAGACACCGAGCTGATGGGCGAAGGGAAGAAGCTGTTTTTCAAGGTGCTGGGCGAGATCTCCTCAATCCTATAGGAAACCGAGTGAAAGTACTGGTTGGGGTTCAGCTGTGAGCTGAATGAGTTCTTGTGGGAAAAGGCACAGCCCAGGCCTCCCATCCCCGGACTAGGGCTGTCATGCGAGTGATAGTGCATACAGGAGCACACTGACTGCAGATCAGTCACTTCTGCGTGGTATGGCTCCCGTCGCCGCCGTGCCCGGTGCAGCGATTCATCTTGGATGTGGATGATCATGCTGTTCCGATTGCCGGCGAGTGAGGCCCGTTCCTCGGCATCCCGCCGCTCATCCTCACTATTCATAGTCAGGAAACGGAGCACCACTAGATTGAGGAAGGCCCCGATGACCGTAAGGCCCACCAGGATGTACATGAAGCTAAAGGCCACATAAAGGGGTTTCTTCTGGAGGGCCCGATTCTTTTGAAGGGCCACAAAGTCCCCAAAGCCAATAGTTGTTAATGTGATGAAGCAATAATAGTAAGACTGGAAGAAGCTCCAGTCCTCATAATGGGAGAATGCAGCGGCCCCGATGCACAACGTGCCAATGCAGGAGAAAAATCCCACCGTCACCATGTTCTCCATGGACACATCAGTGATGCGCATGCCGCAGCACTTCTTGATGCGTTTCAGAAGGTACTTGACAAAAGTGTTCATCCTCTCGCCCAGGCTTTGAAACATGACAAGAGTCAAAGGGATTCCCAGGACGGCGTAAAACATGCAAAAGGCCTTTCCTGCATCGGTCCCTGGCGCCGCGTGCCCGTAGCCTGAGAAGAGAGCAAAAAGACAGCAGAAATTAGTGATGCGGAAAGACGTCAAGTCCGGGCTGGTTTTGATGCCACCAGTGCTACTGTAACTGTATACTCAAAAAGCCCCAGATCAGCTTTTGTTGACAAACATGACCAAGCAAGAAATCTTCTAAAGAGTCTGCAAGCCGTGCCAAAAGAGGTATTGAATAGGCACATGCCACAGAAATGCGTCTGCTCATTAATCTTATTTGGGCTCAAAGATTATGGCAGGAGGGACGTCCAATTAGTCTGAAGTTTCCGGCGAGGTAAAACAGTTTGGAGGAAGGATTGGAAAAGAGTCATGGGGGAGCCAGTGAAGCTTTTAGCTTAATTAGACTTTATCTTTAGACCACAAGCTGCTGACTCACACACAAACAGACTATTGGAAATCAACCTGTGGGGCAAACAATAGGATTGATACACCATATTCAACTGGGTTTCTAAATGAAGTGTAATTGATTTTAAGTGCATGAATTGTAATTGAATGTTACTTCATAGATTGCAATATGAATGAAACTTGTAGAGCGTCATATTGATTATCTCTCCTCTAGCAAAGCCTTTAGCTGCAAGTATTAAACACCAAAGTCCTAGCCAAGATACACCCACCATCAGTTGGCATGTGTATCGCTTCAACAACTGACCTTCAAACAGAGACATAATATTTTTGGTGTACTGTATACATAAAAAAACATTTAATGTTCTGTGTTTTGAATTTGAATTGTGATTCTGTCTTTTCCCATATGCCCGTCCACCCACACAGGCATGTGTTTAGCTAAGGCTGAAAGCAAACTTGGCTGGATCAATCTGATTTGCAATCGAAGCATTTATATTTCCATATGCAATGTGTGTTCCTGACCTGAGGTTTCATTAGTGGACTTTAAAGAAATGCATTAAGCAAGATTTCAAATGTTGCCTTATCCTATGGCAGAGTTTAAGTGGTTGAATTTTTTTTTTTCCAAACTGCACTGTTATTATTTTTGCGCGTAATATGAAAGGAGCCGAGTGCACTTAAGAAATTAGAATTAAATTATCACTAAACAGCAACCTCCCATGCTATAAAAAACAGCCAGTATGGTGCTGAAAGTTGAAGTTCTTCAAACTGAGGCTAACTCCAAAAGGGAGCTAATGACAACCGATCCCTCTGGCAAAATGATCACTTTTACACCAGAAATAAACAGGTTCACAGCAAATATTCTTGGTTTCAAATGCCAATTGATAAGACCACTGCTGGTGGTAAATTTTTTAATATGTCATTCTTTAATTATTTATTCAGTTATGCTTTATCAAGCGTTAGCATGTTTTAAGCCTATTCTAAGCCTAGCCTATCTTTGCTAGCTAAAATTAGCATTGCATTTATTATTACAGTGAGTTTATGAAAACACCTTGCTAACCTAGCTGATTAGTTTGATTTATGGTTCTCAACCAATCAATAGCTCTCATTGGATTTATGTATCTTTTGGGGTTTTTTTTTAGTTTATTATTTTGGTTTTATTGTTAGCATACTCTAGCTTCAACCGCTCTTTTATGTGGCTTTTTTTTGGTACAATCTAAAAAATTCCACAGCAAGTGGGTTGGCAAAGTGCACTGAGCACTGAGCCATACAAATTAATAAATAAATTAATTAAATAATTAATAAGAAGATGAAGACCAAAATGTGAGAAAAAGCGATGTGGATACTAGCAAAACAATGCAACCGTAAATAAATCCAAACATGCAAACAAGCAGATATTTGCCAATCTGTTCCACAGCCACAAGTGCTCCTGCCTTACAACAAAAAAGAAAACACAAACTTGATTACACAGGTTTAAGTTTGCTTTAAATAATCTAAAATAATATATAACCACTCAACCCAATAATATGTTATACACATCAAATTTCCCCGCTTGAGATTAAAACCAGAAATCCTGCATATTCGTCTTGTCTGATTACACTTACATGACACACTTACAGTATGTGTCATTTGACTTAAGCAGCTTGAAGCAGTGATAGATCTTCTTGATGATACAATAAAAGTAATAGCAATCGACGCGAGGATTAGTATCCACATCAGCTTTGTCGGTATCTGCGACAAAAGAGCAATTACAGATCATATCTGGTGCCAAGCACTGGCATTAAAGAGGCTGTCTAATTTTTCACAGAGACGTCTGAGATCTGCTGCTTGTTCATTAATGAGAGAGTAAACTAAAGTTGGGGGGAAATCAAACCCTTTTCCCATAACTAAACAAAATAATATATTCATTAATCTTGATTTTTCAATTCGCCCCGAGCCTGATTCAACTCTGATAATCAAACTCATACAGTGCAAAAGTGTTGGCTCCCCACACGATATGCAGCAGGATGTACTATAATGTTGCAGCACAACAACAGACCACACCTAAACATAACCTTACTGCAGAGAGCCCAGACCAGCCATGCTTCTTCTTTCAAAATAAAGTACTGCTTACAATAAATTTCACTTTAAGAATGTGTATTACTGACTATTGTGAAACTCACAGGAAACAGACAACAGCCTCTCACTTTATGACAGCTTAAATTGTTTTAACAGGTTAAATCGATTTAATCCCCCTCCCAACTTAAATGGCATTAATGATGAAACGGAAGTGGGGGCAGTATTGTTAGTTAAATAAAAGTCCAGTATTTCGAATTTCCGTCTTTAAAAGGATTTGAGCTTCCTGAGTAAAATCTAGAAGCAGGAAACTTGGGTAAAAACACTGAGCGTAGGTGTTTGTTTTGCATTGCAGCACAGCTTATTTGAAAATTCTTTCCGTGAAGTTGGAAGAGTGCGCATAAAGTGTTGCTGCAAATGAGCCGACTGAATCTGTTGAACAATGAGCAGTGATTACTTCAAAAAGATACGTTTAAAAAAAGGAAAATAAATTTTACTGCAGACTTATTTCGACACAGGTATAGTATTAATGCAATCATATATCATGCAGATCTGCAACTGCTTAATCATGCGATTATTATATACATATACATATACATATATTATTTACTAATTATTGCAGGAGAAAAAATATTTTTCAGGGTTAATGTCATGTGGAAAATATAGCAAAAACATGCCTGTGGCATCTCAAAAGTCTTAGGCAACTCTAATTACATCTCAGGACAGATTTGTATACCCAGCCATCTGTCTTTTTCCAATCTTGCTCAAAATTAGCAAATTAATTGATATTGATTCTTATTGCTTAAATTTGTTCTCAGCGAGTAATTAGGACGTAATGAATTACAGCAGCAGTTGTGAAGAAGTGACAGCTTTCATTTGATTGCAACTGGACAGAGTATGTATATTACCACAAATGTCGTCCACAGATGATCCTTCAGCATTATGGGCTGCACTCGAAGACATTATGCCAACTAAAAACTACTTCTGTTCAGTCATTTGAGCTTCCTGTCACAGGCTTGTTGAAGTGTGATAGGTATTGGTTCAACTTCTGCCAACAAGCCTCGTGTGGATTCTCCTTTTTTTATTATTTAAATCTGGACAGATAAGCACCTAAATGTCAGTCTGATGGTGAAAGCAATGTACTATTAAAAACGTGGACCTGTTAGTGATAAGACTAATGATATTAAAAGGGAAAAAAAGCAAAAAGCAATAAAATCATATCCACAGTGATGTCCTGTCAGTCGGAGCTCTCGTTGCTCCAGCATTCATTAGTGTCCTTGCATTTCCAAGGCAATAAACAGAAGCTTAACAGGGCTTTACAGGGATTCAGAGAGATGACCTACAGACCTACAGAGTGGATATTAACTTGTAAAAGTAATCATCTCTGACATTTATTGTATCAAATAATATCCACTTGGGTGCTGTCTATCTTGGACTGATAAGACGATACATCCAGGAAAGCTTATCGTTTTTCTAGTTTGTCCCTGCTGCGTAACTCCTGACACACACGAAAACCATTTCCAAGCTCGAAAAAAAAAAAAGTTGTGAAATGTCGGATAAACTATCCAACTGTCTTAAAGTATTTCTTTGATGTTGCTGATGGGCTGTGTGGAGTCCGTGACAGCATTGCACTGTGTAATCTGTTTGTCCTGTTATAATGACTCTATTATCTCTCGTTGTCTTGGGAACAGACATATTTGCTCTGCCACGCTGAGCCTGTGCCATGCACAGGTGCTTTGTGCTCATGTGTGCACAGGTGAATGCATGTGTTTGTGCGCAGCACAGCAGAAAGAGAATCGTACTTTAATGAATGATAAAAGCATAGGACAGGAGCCCGGTCACGCTAATATTAAACATTAAGACGTGTTATGAAAAAGGAGGGTTGTGTTTCTGCAGGACTTCTCAAGGGGAGGAAGACGAGACTGGAGCTGCAGCAGGCGGGATTTGTTTGTAAAACACACCGGCCTTATCAGCCTGGAGCACAAAGTGACTCTGAAACGTAGACGAACTCACAATCCATTCAGTGAGATGCTGCATATTTGCAAAATGTTGATTTGATATGACTCATTAAAATATCTTTGAGAAATTATCTCCTAGACAGGAATCCGTTAAAACGTTTTAAAATTTCAGGGTTGCAATAACCTATGTAGCAGCTGATGGCATTGCTTTAGTAACAGGAGCACACTTTCTATTTTAAAGCATTTCCATAAACAGGGTACACGAGGAACATCTGCTAACATGTTAAAAGAAGAACAAAGAAGCTCAGTATTCTGTGTGTGATCTTAGCGTCTCTCCTAGAATATTTCAGTATGAACACGTTTTCTGTATCACTGCACATCTGTTGACTCAGTCTTGAAATGTTTGAACAAACCTCAGTGGGAAGTTTGATAACACGACGACACAAAAGTGCCTCCTGAAAGTCGCGTCAGTGTCGTCTGGAGTGGGAGGAGGTAAAAGCTGCAGATCAGTGCGCTTTCATGTTACATCCTTTTTCTACAACCAAGCCACGATGAAATTAGTCTGCGAATCACCAGCCATGCTATTGTCTCTGTGAGCCTTTGCTGTCAGGGTGCTGATGTTCAGCAGGTGTACT